AGATGTAAAGAGTATGCACATGTTTGCATGTTAACATGTTATTATTGTTTATATTGATTTATATATGGCATCGTGGATTTATGAAAAGCATAATTGTCATTAGATAATTGATTGCATGTTCATATTTATAGAAATTCCTTATTATATGTTTATGCCTCAATAAGCCTATGACTTAGCGTAGTATAAGTGTTTGACAGGTAGGTACAGGAAAACAAGAGGACCAGTCTTAGGATCAGCATCGCATCATATCTCCACTTGAAGATCAGATTAGAAGTACTTTGTACATTATATTTTGGTTATATAATAGATGTGTTGGCATGTAAATAAAGTCGTAAAATACGTATGCTCTGATCAATTTTGTAACGTTTGAACTTAATTATGTAAAATACAAATTTCATGTTAATGAAAGTTGAAATTTCCTATAGTTTTTATAAGTATATATATGTTTTGAAAAGTCAATGTGGCACCTTGGATTCGTATCCGAGTCTGGTACGGGTTAGAGGTGTTATAATCAATATTTTTTAACATTTGAATTTTTAAATATTATTTTAATTATTCCTCTTTAACAATAATTACTCATTTAAAATTTAAAAATAAAATAATTTAAATGATATATTATTCTTTTAACAGTTAAAAAATAAAAAAATATATATCATAAATAAATTTTAAAAAATATTATCATTACATTCTAAATATATCAATTTAAATTATAATAAAAATATAAAAAAGCAAATAAAAGATATAACTATTATAAAAATATATTTTTTATAATAATTCACTATTAATATTTTAATATGTAAGCCATAAATTTTATTTACTTTTAAGAAATTAAAATAAGTTATTTAATAATAAAATATATTTTAAGGATTATAGTATTAAATTATTAAACTAAAATGTAAGTATGTAATTAATAAAAAAAATTGGATTTCAAAATTCTTTTCAAGGGTAAGAGTAAAATTATAAGTTCATTTCTAAACGTAAAGTTGAAAATAAAAATGAAAACGATAGAAATGATAGTTTTGCAGTTGGTTTAAAACTATTGTTTCCATCTTTTTTTATTTTTTTATTTTATCTGTTTGACTTTGATTTTGTGGTCAAAATAAACTTTTTAGCTAAAAGTATTTTTAGACAGCATTACCAAATGCAATTCCTATTCTATTTAGAGGGAAAGAGAGAAAAAAAAAACTCTAGAGGAATACTCTTAATAATTACTCATAACCTAAGAGAATAAAAAAGAATATGTGTCCAATATTTAAAATTTAATTAATGTATTTAAAATATTTCTTGTATAATGTTATTATCGGTCTAAATCAGTAACAACATTAGTTGGCGTCAATTTTTCTTTTAACGTTATTCAATTGCAATTGGCTAAATTATATGAAATTAAAGTATAAAAAATACAAATTTCTTTTAACTAGACATTGTTTGGACTTGAACGATATTATTTGTTTTTAACATTGGGCTCTTGGAGGTTTGTGTTATGTTGGTCACACTGGGCCATGAAAGCATAAAAAAGTTAAGCCCGCAATAGTTTGAAAATGGGCCTAGGTGGTTAACCGAGCTTCGGCTGTCCTGATCGGAGCAATGGCTTTCTTTGGTGAAGTGACAAATTGATTCGAAACCCAGAAGGAATAAAAGAAAAAGGAAGTCCATAGCGGGGAAGAAGAGGAGAAAATTGAAGAATGGGAGTTGATTATTACAAGATTCTCCAGGTCGATCGGAATGCAAAAGATGAAGATTTGAAGAAAGCGTATCGCAAACTGGCTATGAAGTGGCATCCCGATAAGAATCCCAATAACAAGAAAGAAGCTGAAGCCAAATTTAAGCAGATCTCGGAAGCTTACGATGTAAAAAAGTTACTTTTTATTTAAACTTTTGTTTCCTTCTTATTTCTCGCTTTATTTTGGTTAAACGAATTAAAATTTTCGATCAATTTTAGGTTTTGAGTGATCCCCAAAAGCGTGCAGTTTATGATCAGTATGGAGAAGAAGGGCTAAAAGGCCAGGTGCCCCCACCCGGGGAGGGGGGTTTTCCGGGCGGGGCAGATGGGGGTCCGACGACGTTCCGGTTCAACACTCGGAGCCCCGACGATATTTTCTCGGAGTTTTTCGGGTTTTCGAGTCCGTTTGGGGATATTGGTGGGTCACGTGCTGGGGCGTCAGGATTCCCCAGGGGCATGTTTGGGGAAGATATATTCCGGTCATTTAGGGGTGGACATGGACATGTACATGGAGATGCTTCAATTCCCCGAAAAGGTCCCCCAATTGAACGAACATTGCCTTGCAGCTTGGAGGATTTGTATAAAGGGACTACCAAGAAGATGAAGATTCTAGGGATGTTTCTGATCCTAGCGGGTAACCCCTTTCTTTATGGATTAGAGCTTTTCTTTTTCAAGTTAATTAATTGGGTGATGCTTAGGTTTTTTCGTGGATACTAAATTTTCAGCCGGGTTCATTCCGTAGAGCAAAATTCAATTTGTATTAACTTTGAATGTGGCTTGTGATTAGTGAAAACATAAGTGATCGAATGGCATGGAAAGTTTTTAGGCATAACAGAAGAAAAAGTTGACATTTACAAGGTGCTTGCATATGAGCCAAGGTTGCAAAGGACATTTACAGAAGTTGTCAAGTTTGACTTTTTTCCTGCTAAAAGTAACTTTATTACTTGTTAGGATGAAGGGACTTTAATCATTTGAAATGACTGGATGTTTCTTTAATAATAGCCACTTTTGCATGCCAGTTTAGAGCTTAAAAGATATTCTATGTTTTGGTCATCATGATTGTTTCCTGCTATATTGGTGCTCCCTCCTCGCCATTTTGCTTCGGTTCTATCAGATCATCTATAGACCGGTAGTCTCTTTGATAAAAAACGTAGTCTCTTTGATAAAAAACCTGATGGAATTTCCTAGCCAACAAATGTATATAAGTTTTATTTACCATGTGAATTAAACTTTGTAAGTCTGAATCTTTGCATGTTACTGGGTGCTAATTGTTTTAAAACAGTGAGACTTACAACTTTCTCCTGAGCAGTGTTGTCAAGGTGTGCACCTAGATATGCCTATGCCATTATTCAACATAAGCGCCTCAGACCCGTTCAGGCCAGGCCCATTTGTTCAAGCTCACACCTTTCCTGATTGAATCTCTCTTCAATTTCTTTTATTTTCCCCTTTTTTACATTTGATGTCTTTACTAGTAAGAAAAAGATAATATAGAACTCTCTAGTAATATTTAAGCATTCAACAGGAAATATTGACCATGAGGAATTAAAGGAAATAGTGCAAATTAACCAATAAAAAATTGCATGTTCTGTAGATGAGCTCGACAACAGTTTAGAGTTTATTAAGTTTGATATATATTACAAAAATTTGCACACATGCATATTGCACCTCATTCAGCGTAGCGCACTTTTTTGTGCCTACAGCAATATAAGGGTTTAACCACTTAGTGTGAGCCTTGCTCCCTTGACAACATTGCTCCTAGGTATTTTATTATAAGACTCAATTGGTCAAACTATAATGGTTGAAGTTCCAATTTTTAACCATATTTATTTAGTAATAATGCCATTGTTTCAGGAAACTTTTGATTTTTTTCCCACCTACTTTAAAACTCTGATTTTGTTTCCTGTTACAGGAGATCTACTACAGTGGAAGAAATTCTCACTATTGAAATTAAGCCAGGGTGGAAAAAAGGTACAAAAATCACTTTTCCAGAAAAGGGAATGAGCAGCGAGGGGTTATTCCTTCCGACCTTGTTTTTATCATTGATGAGAAGCCTCACAGTCTGTTCAAGAGGGATGGAAATGACCTTATTGTTACTCAGAAGATCTCTCTAGTTGAAGCCCTAACTGGATATACAGTGCAGCTGACAACCCTAGATGGACGGAATCTGACTGTCCCCATTAACAACATCATCAGTCCGACCTATGAGGAAGTTGTTAAAGGGGAGGGTATGCCCATCCCCAAGGAACCTTCCAAGAAAGGAAATTTGAAAATCAAATTCAACATCAAGTTCCCCACAAAGCTTACACCGGAACAGAAAACTGGCCTGAAACGATTAATATCGTCTCCCTAATAATCAGTGGTAGCCCTCACCACCATCAGCCAATTTGTGTGAGTTTAAGCTTGGTTTACTTTTATTACGGAGAAGGAAGTTCATGAGTTCTGAACTGGGATATCATAACAGTTATCTAGGTGTTGGTAAATTATTACGCACGTTTTCTGTTGGTGTCTTTTCCCTTTAAATCTTGCTGTTAAGTGGCCCTTGCATAATTTGGCTTAAATCTTCCTCATTTCACTTTTGGCAAGCCCTTTGGTCATTTGTTGATTGTAATTTACCACTCTTTTGTTATGGAAAAAGTGGATTAGAGTGGTAAGAAGCAATAAGTTATACATTACAGTTGAAACCTGGTCGAGGGTGAATCGTGTTTCACTGCAGAGTAAGCGTGTAAAGTGAATGATGGAAAGAGTTGAATGGTTTATCCTCCTCTTTCAGCTGATGCTGGAATTTCAGGTGCAACATATGCTAAATAGCAATATCAATTAAATGGGAAAGCATGCATGATGTCATAGCCTTGACATCTCTGTTTTGAGTTTGGGGACGTGTGTGCATATATCACGGGTTCAAATTGCCTTCAATGGACCACCATCTTTAAGGGAGGCTTTGTTTTGTTTGTGATGTTATTTTAAATAAAACAATCACTATGGTAAACCTATAAGCTAAACACGCAAACAGTGAATGTCACACCAGCGAATTAGTCGACTTTCGTAATTAAATTAAATTGAATAAAGTTTAAATTACTAGAAAATTCAGCGTCCTAGTCAATATCTACAATCTTCTTGTTAATGTTAGATAGTAAGTAATTCTCTTTCCTTTTCTGGAACATGGAGATCCTCGCCATAAGAGTTCAAACAAGGAACCCAACTTTGAGTTTGATTTAAATAAATAATTTGGATTATGGGAGACCTCTGTGAAATGCAACAGCTAAAAGACATATTAAGGCACCCATTAATCCTAATATCCTACCAATCTATTCATTGTGCTTATCGCTACTTTCATATATACTATTTTGGTTCCCAACTGTTTTCTTGTCTCCCTCCATTGTCTCCACAATGCGTCGTCCAAGTCGTGCTGATGGCTTCGCCAAGGAACGCCTGAGATGGACTCAAGAGCTCCACGATCGATTCGAAGAAGCTGTTAACCAGCTAGGAGGTCCAGATAGTAAGTCCTTTTAGCTATGCCTTCTCTTTGGTTTTATGGTGTATGATGTTTATGTGAGTTGTTCTTTTCAGGGGCGACGCCTAAGGGAATTCTCAAAGCTATGGGCGTTGATGGGCTTACCATTTACCATGTCAAAAGTCACTTGCAGAAATACAGGATGTTAAAGTTTGTTCCAGAAACAAATACTAGTACGTTCAATGAACCTTAGTCTCTCTCTCACTAACATTGATGCTAGGAAAAGAAGCAACTAATCCATAGAAATTTGATATCATGTTGTATTTTTTAACCGCAGAATGCAAGTTTGAGAGGAGAAGTATTTCAGAAATACTGCCTAATTTTGGTACAACATCGTGAGTTATTGTTTCTTATTCTGTGGAATCCTTAAATATTTGTATCAGTATTCGAATATATTCACTCTAATTATTTGCTTGTCCTGTCCTTGCATTGATTAAAGAGCTGCACAGCTTAATGAAGCATTGTTATTGCATATGGAAGCACAAAGAAAACTAGGGGATGATAAACTCGAGGTATTATTTGCCTATCACCATGCATAAGATCAAACCTTTTAGATTACCCTCTTCGTTTAACAATTTCTTAATTTATATCTCTAGGTCCGAAGGAATTTGAAGATCAAGATTGAAGCACAGACGAGATATTTCAAGAGAATTTCAGGAGGGGACCATAGGAACCGAGTCACCCCAACAAAAGCTACCAAATTGTCGCCTCCCATATCATTGCCATCGTTATGTGAGGAGTCTGAGTCCAACATAAAGGATTCCGAGGTCGATTCCGAGGCCGGAATAGTGGAAGATAACTCGGCATCATCATCGTCGGTATACGCATTTGCATCGACATTCCACCCAGATGCCTATGAATGCAATGACCCAAACATGCAAGAAAGACTTTCCTACACTGCTAATGATATCATCGTCTTTCCATGGAATAACCCGGCTTGCTCATCACCCTTGGTGCCCAGCTTTATGTGAATCATGCCACAGGCTTGCATTGCATAGACAATATAAATTTGTATAATAAATCAATGATCATATCATGTATAGCATCACAGAGATGCTGCTTCATTATTAGGTAATAAGGGGGTGATGTGATATGTGTAGAGCATATATTTGCTCATATATGGTGTTTTGAATAAGGAATAATATTGAATATAGTACATGGAATTCTACTTGAAGTGTTTCGAAATCTATGTAGTGACCCTTGAAGGCTCCGTATGCCAGTATATTAGCTGCAGATTCCTTAGTAATCCTTTCCACAAGCGTGAATAAAAAATGCTCGGAAGCAACATAAGGCTCAACTTCGGATCAGAAAATCTTCATTCGAAAGAGGGTATATTATTTATGTGTAAAATTTAAGGTTTGAATAATAAAATTGTAATTTGTATTCTATTTCATGAGACCTTTGGAAGGGTGTAAAATATACTTAAAATGAATAAGTAAGAAATATGAAATTGATGATCAAAGTAATTAAAACATGAAACTCATTCTTTTTTGCACCTCTATTAAACTGTACCATAAACTATTATTTAATTTCAAGTGAGGTGATAACTGCCTCACGCTGTTTTATTACATAAAATAAAGTTTTTGAGAACGGAGATTATATATTGGCTTTCAAGGATTCAATTTGTTTTTTTCCACAAGGACCGTTCATCCTAATGTAAAGCCTATACTCATCGTATGTCATCGGATTATACAGCGCCGGCTGATCTTCATTCACCAGCTCCTCTGCCGGCTGGATGGGAATATCACTCTTAGGGTTGTAGAAGAAAGCTAGTGAGACTCGATCTTTTTCTGAGTTCACGATCACACGATGCTCGACACTCTTGTAAATTGCATTGCTGAGTACCTAAACAAGCATCATCAAACACTCATGATCAGCAAATTTAATCATTACGAAATTAACATAGGACATTGAAATTGTATGACTTCATACCTGAATCTGATCTCCAACATTGATAATGAAAGCATTGGGGACAGGCTTCACCGTAATCCACTTCCCGTTGTTAAGAACTTGGAGTCCGGCTACATCGTGATCGGGTAGGAGAACGGTGATGCCACCCGGGTCCGAGTGCGAGGAAAGACCTAGAGTGAGTTCAGGTTGAGGGCACTTGGGATAGAAATTGACCCTTAAGCAGGCCCCAACTTCATCTCCTCCAATTGCATTTTGTAGGTAGTCTTCTTTTAGTTCAAGGCTAATAGACATAGCCTTAAGCAGCCTTTCACATAGCTTTGTAACTTGGGCACCATAATCTTCAACCAGTTCCCTGAGTATTCATATTCAAATCTCATTATTCGTATTAATTATCACGTGTCGTCGGATTCTCTCGTATTTATTACGAGTTTAAATTCGGATTTATTTAGGTTTTACACTGATTTAGTCCTTAACCAAAAATGTTACATACACATGTTTAGAAGTTAAAGGCTCCATTAACTGATCTCTACTGAATGCAACCATAGCTGAATATGGAAAATTTATTTCATTTGGCCTAACGGGTATAATTGTATATCTCAAAGCAAAAAAAAGAATATCAATGTTGATTAAAACTAAGCTGATCAATCAATACGAGAATGCTTGAATCTAAGCTTCGTTGTCGGTTGATTAAATCTAAGAAAACAACATAAAACGTACGTAAAACATGATAGTAGACGAGTTTTTAAGACGGTGGCACGCACCTGCATGATGTCGGCTGTGCAGGCCACTTGCTTTGATTCCTGACTGTAACCGGCAAGTAGTTGAGAAAAAAGTAATCGCACCAGTCAAGTTTCGCTCCTTTCTCGACTCCCAACCGGCTACCGTACCCTTCGTAGGTGCTCGGTGAGTTGGCGTACAGTTGCTTCACTTCGAGCGGCGAGTCGAAGAACTCACGCCACGCATCGCTGGTGCGTTTCATAAGCTCGTCACTAACCCCATGGTTCACCGCCTGGAAGAAACCCCAGTCCTTGCACGCGCTAGAGATGCGTCTCAAGGTATCGTCGTGAAGGGCGCGGTCTTTGCCGAACAGGTTCCTGAGATCAACGAAGGGAATGTCGACGTGTTCATCGGAACCAGGTTTCAGATCAGGCCTGTCGTTTATAGGCTTAATATATCGTTCCGGAACGGTACGTATGCCATTCTCAGACAGAGACTGAACTCGAACCACTGGCTCAGGCCAACTGAGGAGGAGACGGTTCATTGTTGAATTGTATAATATTTCAGGGGTTTCTTTCTTCTAATAAACCCAGAAAGAAAGAAAGAAAGAAAGAAAGAAAAATGCAAAATTTAGATGAAGAAAACAAAGAGAAGTTGAGAGATGGTGAAAAGATTAGAGTGAGTGAAGGGGTTTATATAAGGATTGGGATTTAAGGATGCAATCATGAGAAGTGGGAAATTAAGAAAATAAACTTTGGTGAGTTACCATTACACAAAGCACTAAAATTTTATCATCAGTGAACTGATGGGGAGGGACGAGCAGGTTTTTTTTTTTTTTTTAAATTACCTTTTTCGTCCTACGAATTGGAATTAATAATATTCGATGCTTTTTCCTTCTAAGAAGCAATATATATTTATATATACGCATATACCATCTCATGTGAGTAGCCTGAAGACAGTATTTGTATAAAAAATAGCTGTGTACAAATTAAAGACAAGTTTGCTTTTGACTCTGCTAGTGGGAACCAAACAAAATTAGATGGTTTTAGGGGGTTTTTTTTTAATAACTTTTTATGCACGTGTTTTGTTTGTTCAGTTCAGCACCATTTTAGTTTCAGGGTAAATTACTGAAATAATCATTTTCATTTTATGAGTGTTCACTTGTGACTAATGAATTTTAAAAGAGAATGTTATAGTCACTCACGTTCTCCGTTTTGGTATCTTGGAAGTTAGATGTTTGATGATGCGATATATTAGTAAAATGGGTTAATTTTTAATTTGACCCCTAATCTTTAGATAATAATATTAATTTGACTCTTGAAATTTAGATAAAATATCAATTTAACCTTTAAATCTAACCAAAGCCTCCCACTCGACGATCACCATTAGTCATAAGCCAAAAAGGAGTACACGTAATTTTACGATCCAATTATCATTTGTGATACCAGCGGATGGTGGCCAACAGTGAGCAGCGATAAATGGTGGAGGACTTTGGTTGAATTCAATGATTAAATTGATATTTTATCTAAAGGTCAAGTGTTAAATTGATATTTTGTCAAAAGTTTAGAGGTCAAGTCAATATTTGTTTTAAATTTAACAATCAAATTAAAAATTAACTACTTTTACTAATGTGTCACATCATCTGATAACATTTAATGTCCATATGACTAAAATATTATATATCAATAACATAAGTGACTAAAATAATATATTTTCTCAATTTAATAACCAAAAGTGAACATTTCAATAAATTTATCCTTTTTGTTATTATTTAGAATTAGGAAGTTGAAACTTATAACATAATTTGGATTTTTGTTTGGGTCCCCCCTCTTTTGGACGTATTTGGGATTCATAAATCTTAAAACTGAAATATCATATGCATGAATAAAAAATTACTTTTCCATATATAGATAAACTTTGTATGCATGGAAAGGAGTTACTTTTCCATATATATCCTCAATTACAACTTTATTTTAAATTTGTCTTTAAACTTTTGAATATTTTATTTCCATCCCCAAAATATGATCTCATTTTAAATTTGTCCTTAAATTTGTGAACATTCTAATTTTCTTGACTGGTAAAGTGATCAATAAATTTCATCCCTAAACTATGACCATCTTTCTAAATTGGTTCCCAAACTTTTAAATATTTCATTCTCAAATTCATCTAAACATGTAATTAGTTTCAACCATAGTTTAACCTAAAGTTTTTTTTAACATATAACTTGGTCTAACGAGTTTATTAATGAGGGATGTGATTAGTATATATGTATAGTTTGGAATGAAATTGGAATGTTAAAAAAGTTTGGGAACCGATTTAGAATGAAGATCATTGTTTAGGGATGAAATTGAAATATCAAAAGTTTAAGAACTAATTTAGAATGATAGTCATAGTTTAGGGATAAAATTAAAACATTCAAAAATTTAATGACTAATATAAAATGAAAGTTGTAATTAGAGGATATATAATATAATTAACCAACATGAAAAGTAAAAAAAATGGTAAATATATAAGGCATAATATAATAAAAATAGCCCCCAATAATTGTATTAATAGTCATTTTATCCTCTGATTAATTTTTGGAGAGTTTAGCTTTTTAACATTTCATTTTCCCCCCCTCAAAATAGACCCTAACGAATAAAAGTTGTTGATGTGAACTTTTTTACATATGTTACGTCATCAATTTAGATAATTTAATATATAATGTCATTATTTTAATGATGTGATATATATTATTTTATTATTTAAATATATATATATATATATCAAATCAATAATACATGTCCATGATTAATCAATTAATAATATTTATTTAATATGAATTATTTTAATTAAAATTTAAAATGTTAAAAGTTAAAATACCAAAAAATAAAAAGATAAAATGATCATTTGTATAAATATATAACAAAAGATGACTAAGCTCGGGGGACCAGTGACTGGCGCGATAGACAAAAAGAAGTTGCAATTAGGAGAGTTTTACTTCAACAATTAATCGAAAATGAGTGGAACACATCAGCGTAATCAGTGAAAATCCATGCTATAAATAGGAAGCGATTGGCTAATAATGGAACCATCTTGTAGTTCCCACGTGATATTTATGCGTTTGCAGCGAAGAGATTTGGCTCATAATTAGCCAAAAACAATATCAAAACTGGTGATGATTTGATTGTTTGTCCGGGTGATTAAAAAAATATCTTAAACATTTGCAAATGGATGAGTCAAATTCAGCACCAATTGTTAAACACTTCGTTCTTCAATGGAGAACATGATGGATTTGGCATATTAGCATGCAACCACATATCCCATTGTCAAATATTAGCTTGCTTATTTGAACTAAAAGTTTGAAAAGTCTGCGCCTCCATTCTCATCTATCCAAATGAAAACAAAATATTGTATAATTTTTTTTAATAGAATGAATTATTATAAGATAATATCTTTTTATATTTTTTTTTAATTATTGGTAACGTGTAACTGGGACAGATGCAAGGATTAATGTCAGGGGTCAAAGGGTGCGAACTTAAAAAAATTGTATTAAAAATTTAAAGGGTGCAAAATTATAAAATCTTAGGGGGTGTGAAATTAGATAATTCATATGAAATGCAAGGAAAATACCTAAAATATAAGAGAATTTGAAATTTCTGAGGGTACAACCACACCCTCCTCGGTCCATCCACGCGCACAAACACATTGCATACACAACTGGTTGAACCCATGGTCTCAAAGAAGAATAACACTCTTTTTAATCATTGTTTAAATTTTTATATTATTAGTAAATTAGATTTTCATAATTAAATTTAAATTTTATAATAATGTTTTATGTTGACCTTTTTATTTGTAAAGGGTATCATGGTTAGCGGTGTCTTCGTATTCATGCGGTAGGTTTTTTCATTACTCTTCTTCTTGATTTTTGGTTTTATGTGATTTCTTGGTTGTTTTCTTTCTTGATGCATGGTTTCTTTGGTAGTTTGTATACTACATTCCGCTAACTATCGGAAATAGGTATCAGCTTGAGTTTGCCTGAACATGAATGTACTAATTTCTCTGTTTGCCACAAGTCTATTGCACAGACTAGATATTCCACTATCACTCGGTTCCTGATCTCGCGATGCCATCTCTAGGTTGTGTTTTTCTTTGTGTGTGCCATGACTTCCTTTCGATGACCTATCCTTTGTCCTCACTCAATTCTTCTCATAATGGGATTGTGATTAAAGTGAGATTTATTTTTTTATTCGTTCGCTTTGGATACTCTCTAGTTCTCCTCCTCTGTGTATGGTGTTTATTAGTGGCAGATCTTGATGATAGAGTTTGGAGGACTAACATAAAATTTTAAAAAATTTAGGGGTTTAAATTAATTTTTTTAATTTTTTTTGAAAGGTTTAATTTATATTTTTCAAAATATTGAGGTCTAACCAAAATTTTTAAAATTTTGAAAGGCTTAATGTGAATTTTTAAATATTATGGGAGGTTTTTAATTAAGAACATTCAAAAAATTTAAAGCTAAATTTAAATTTCTAAAAATTTTGTGGGACAAATTAATTTTTTCAATTTTTAAGGTTCTAAATTATAATTTTTCAAAATTTTGAGGGTCGTGGCCCCCACTTATCTTCATTTTATTGTGTTTCACTCATGGTGCTTAAAGATGGAAAAGTGATTTGTCTATATATGTCGTTGTCTCAACTGTTCACACTCTTTTTCATTAGGTTATCACTGATCTCTCACAATTATATTTTATTTATAGCTATATTGAATGTATATATTATATTGTTCTAAAGATGCTCTTTATGACTCATGTAATCTACGTAGTTGTTTAAAAAAAACTTATTATCACCCTTAAATATAAATTTTCTATGATTTACTATTTTTTTATTTAATCTTATGTGAAGGGGTGTAAACGAGCCGAGTCGAGCTCGAGTATTGCCGAGCTTGACTCGAACTCGAAAACTTTAAATGTAGGCTCGACTCGACTCGAAAACTCGCGAGCCTAAAATTTTCAAGCTCGACTCGAACTCGAAAGATCGAACTCGATTCGAAAAACTCGAATTTGATCCTTAGGGGTAAATTAGCTTTAGGCTCTCTAGATTTATGCGTTTTGTACAAAACAGTCCCTCAATTATTTAAATTTTAGCTTAAATTAGTCCTCACATTTAGATTTTTCTTAATTTAGTCTCTGTTTAGGATTGTTTTCTTTAATTAGTTGTGTATATTTATTTGCATGTTGATATGTTTATGTATAAGTATGTGAATAATTTATTTATGAGCCACATAACATCATTTTACATAATTTGTATGTTACCTTCATGGCATAACTTAAACCCTAACACATAAACCCTAAATCTTAACACATAACCCTAAACTCTAAACTTTAAACCTTAAATCCTATCACATAAACTCTAAATCCTAAACCCTAAATCTTATCACATAATTAGTTATGAGGTAAGTACAATATAGTATCTTGATATTAAATGCTCAAACTCTTGATATTTATGATATTTGAACCCAAAACCTCAAAATATAACAACAATTTAAAAAATTTAGTTATTACAAATATTTTCATTAGAAATATATTAAATATTTGTCATTAGATAAATAATTTTTTTTATCAATTTAAAATAAATATAAGAATATTTATTCAAAAATAATTTTTAACCATTTTCAATTCAAGA